TTTTTTTTCTTCATGAACACTTCCCACACAACTATGGTCAGCCAAAAAGGTGTAAATGAAGATGAGGCATGGCAGGCAAACTTCGTTCCTTCTGTAACATATTTCATGATTATGAGTCCAGAAAAGCAGTACTAATGCATGTTTAAAGCACATATACACTTACCCGAGATTCTCATCTTTACTAATGGACATGCATATATCTTGGAAACAGGCCATATTTCCTAATATTCCCACACAGATTTCCTGAAAAGTCAAAACACAGTATAATGAAGCAACTGCAACATAGTTGACAATTTTATTTCCACAGTCATAAGATAAAATTAAGAAAGGTCCAAAGATGTTTTCCAGTTTGATTTCCAAGTTCTTATGACCCACTGATTTCAAGAGAGAGATACAGATTTTTCCTACAGGATGCCATTAGACTAGCCTAAAATATACTTGTGACAGGTACTATTCAGATATTTCAGTGTTAAGGTCTTCCATAAAAGCAAATATATCTTGAAATCAACTTTGCTTGCATATTCTGTGTATACTGTTTTGAAGCTAATCTGGCATCCCTATTATTAAAGCAATAGAATCCTAAGAACAAAAATATCACTATGTAAGTGCAACCCTCACAGATATTCACTTCCTCCCAAAAGACAGGGGTCTTAACTCAAGCTTCCAGCAAAGCCCATTTTCTGATTGCAAAGATTTAAAAAAAAAAATCAAAAGCAGTGCATCCCATTAGGATATTCATGCCTAGACAACCATCAAAAAGAAGCATGCTCCAATAAAGGGGACTGTGAGAGCTCTGAAACACCTGTGGGTGACCGGTGCTAACACAGAATGTCCTGGGAATTGCTCACTTTCAGCAACTTTAAGTTGGAAATCAACCCTCACCACTCAAGATTATCTTTTTTATTAACATTCTATTACCTCTGCTAAATTACAGCAGACACTCTAGCAGCGACTGTTTCAAGAAAGCAGCCGTGACAGCTGATTTGCACTGACTTCCAAACTTTGGTTGTACTTTCAAAAGACAAAGTATTGAACTTTCAAAGCCTTATGTGTCTCTACTCATTTCTGAAGTAAAGCTTCTGGTAACTTCAGAGGCTGAATACCTTTCAAAACCCTATCTCGAATCCTAAATGTCAGTGCACTGTGTAATACAAACTGCAAAACAATGACATCAAAACAAAGGGGGAAGAAAAAAAAATGCATTAAGTACTACAGTCTAACAGTTCCTAACCACTAACTTTACTTTTGTAGGTCTGACTAAACAAAGTCACGACCATTTCTGTTCAATAATCATGAAACAAGTAATGAGAAAAAAAAAAGCCAGTTGTACTGGGTTTGTGGGACAAGGTTTTGCTGCCGGGGGGGAGCTACAGGGGTGGCTTCTGTGAGAAGATACCAGAAGCTTCCCCCACGTGAAACAGAGCCAGTGCCAGCCGGCTCCAAGATGGACCCACCACTGGCCAAAGCTGAGCCCATGAGCGATGGTAACACCTCTGTGGTAACATATTTAAGAAGGGGAAGAAACTGCTGCGCAACAGCAGCCAGAAGAGAGGAGCGAGAATATGTGAGAGGAACAACTCTGCAGACACCAAGGTCAGTGAAGGAAGAGGGGGAGGAGGTGCTCCAGGCGCCAGAGCAGAGATTCCCCTGCAGCCCATGGTGAAGACCATGGTGAGGCAGGCTGTCCCTCTGCAGCCCATGGAGGTTAACGGTGGAGCAGATATCCACCTGCAGCCCATGGAAGACCCCACACCGGAGCAGGGGGATGCCCAAAAGAGGCTGTGGTCCCGTTGGAAGCCCACACTGGAGCAGGTTTGCTGGCAGGACTTGTGACTCCACGGGGACCCACCCTGGAGCAGTCTGTTCCTGAAGGACTGCACCCCGTGGAAGGGACCCACGCTGGAGCAGTTCGTGAAGAACTGCAGCCTGTGGGAAGGACTCACGATGGAGCAGTTCGTGGAGAACTGTCTCCTGCGGGAGGGACCCCACACTGGAGCAGGGGAAGAGTGTGAGGAGTCCTCCCCTTGAGGAGGAAGGAGCGGCAGAGACAACACATGATGAACTGACCACAGCTCCCATTCCCGTCCCCCTGAGCCCCTCAGGGGAAGGAAGTAGTGAATTTGGGAGTGAAGTTGAGCCCAGGAAGAAGGGAGGGGTTGGGGGAAGATGTTTTAAGATTTGATTTTATTTGATTTCTCATTATCCTACTCTGATTTGATTGCTAATAAATTTAATTCATTTCCCCAAGTCAAGCCTGTTCTGCCCGTGACTGCACTTGCTGAGTGATCTCCCTGCCCTTAACTCAACCCACAAGCCTTTCATTATATTTTCTCTCCCCTGTCCAGTTGAGGAGGTGGAGTGATAGAACAGCTTGGTGGGCACCTGGCATCCAGCCAAGGTTAACCCACCACAGCCAGTCTTTACTGTTTTTTATAACAAGCCTTATAACTAGGTTTGATAAACTTAGTCCATCATCAATAATAACATATATCAGCTTCAGCATCACTGAAATACTTACTGATTAGACCATATTAAAAGCACTGTTAAAAAGCATTTTAAAATTTGATTTTGTGTTTTCTCCTCATTCTCCTAACCTATTCAAACATGCAACGGGAGGAGGAGGGAGATATGTGCAAATGCATGTACAGAGCTATCTATTATTGCTATTAATATGGAACAGCTTTTTGACAGCCCATACTTACAGTAAGGCGAGGGCATTTTGACTTGGCAAAAACTCCCATGAATATATCAGGGGCGTTGAACTCCTGAAGAAATAAAGCGACATCCTGTGGAGAAAGTGAATGGAGAAGCAAATGGACTTCTACAATTTCCAAACGCAAAATCAAACCTTTTCTCACAGCGCAAGGACTGGATCAAAGAGATGTCAAACTCACCACAGAGATCAGTTATTTCCCAACAGTTAATACCAATAATCCTTGCTTTTCAATGAGATCAGCAAGCCACTATGGTGATTCAGGACGCCAGTCATTTGCTATACAATGAGCCAAAAAGTCACATTTAGTGTCTTTTGCTCTCTGTCTCAACAGAGGGTCAGAGATTCTCAGTCAGAATTCAGCAAATACCATGTTTTCAGACAGTGATGTCACCCACACATACAAAAAGAAACAAGGGAAGGGATTACCATCAGTACTTGATCAGAGCATACAAAAGAGGAAATCTCCTCCTTATTTTACAACATTAAACCACAAGATTAGTCCTCTGTTTGGGAGAAAAGGACACATCTTCCATGTTTATTTAAAATATCTAACAAAGACCCAGGGAATAAAATAATGATAATTTTGAAAAACGTGTATCTCTTACTGGAGAATTTGTTCCAGCATTTGAGAATGTTGTGAAAAATACCGAAAAGTTGTGTTAGATTGCCCTTGTGAGTCTGTAGCTAAAGTTTAAAAGGTTTTTTATCTATCAGATAAAGCTATGCTTACCAGCAGGATGCATTACAATTGCTAGAGGAAAATACGCCTATTTAGAGACAGCATCAATATTATCTCCATAATCAAAGTGCTGAAGATACACGCTATGCACCCGAGTTAAGTTCAGCTACAGCTAAAGTACCACCTTTTAATAACTCTGAGCTTCGGTTCAACTCCTGCACATAATACAGAAAACCAACAGGCATGAATATGGCCCCATTAATGCCAGCTGACCCTAAGCAACAGCGTCACACAATCCATTAGACACCCAGGGTAAGGTCTGGCAGACCACCTTGTTTCTTTTACATTCACACACAGCTCTGCTTTATATCCTCAAACAACAGTGTGGCATCCAGCAGCTAGGATGCAACAGAAGGCCTGCTTTTGCAAACTAGTGCTGGGCCTAAGAGCGCACACAAAGTACTTGCTCATCTTGAAAAGTAGCCTTCGTGGTGAGCCTGCTTGATGCCAGTTTACCACACCTGCTCTGCCTAATGACTCACAGGACACTGTCAGCCAAACCAGAGAAGAAGCAATACCATCGAAAGCAGAAAGCTGACCAAGCCTCTTTTAACTCTGTGCTTTCTCCCACTTCCAGAAGGATTTTGACTGAACGCGCTCAGCACCAGAAACAGGGCAGAAGTCACCCATAGCTGTGATCAACCATCGAGGTCTGACTCCCGCACATCGCTCCTACCTCGTCCATCGACATGTCCCAGACTTTGCAAATGTCATTCTCCATCTCTTCGTCCAGTTCTGTCTGGATTTCCTCGGGGCTCACGGCGGGCTCCGTCTTCTCGGGGCTAATGACCTGAGAGAAATCGGGGGGGCACACGGGGGTAGGGCGGTACGTAAGCTATGACCGAGAAACGCCATGAAACGCTAACAACGACCTATCGCTTCAGTCACAGTTAAAAAAAAAAAACCACACAGCTAGGAAACCGGTGTGTCGTGTGTCCCCCACCGGCCCCGGTAACGGTCGCACCGTACCCGCCAGGCGCCGACCGTTACCGGGCCCGCCGGCCTCTCCCCTCACGGCGCCCCCGCTCCCTCAGGCCCGCACCTCGATGAGGCGGGTGAGGATGCTGAACAGCCAGTGCTTGCTGTACACCGTGTTCCCCACCGCGTCGCCCTCCTCCTCCTCCGCCTCGCTGGAGGGCGGCGACCGGTTTCTGTCCATGCCTA